TTGTGAGATGGAATTTTGCTCTTGTTGCCCAGGCTGGAGTGCAATGGCACAATCTTGGCTCACTGCAACCTCTGCCTCCCGGGTTCAAGCGATTCTTGAGCCTCAGCCTCCCGAGTAGCTGGGATTACAGGCACCTGTCATCACACCTGGTTATTTTTGTATTTGTAGTAGACACGGGGTTTCTCCATATTGGTCAGGCTGGTCTTGAACTCCCAACTTCAGGTGATCCACCCGCCTCGACCTCCCAAAGTGCAAGGATTATAGGCGTGAGTGACTGTGCCCAGTCTAGTTAGGATTTTGAAAATTCTGACAATCAGGAATGGGGGTTCAGGAGTGGTACTGTGCAGAAAAGGGAAGTCATGGGGTGGGGACTGTCAGGGCTGGAGGCAGTAGCGTCTCCTTCACCCCCACCCTGGTGTCTTCTCCTGAAAGACAGATGATCACATCCTAGAATTGATGAGTCCTCTACCGTGTCTGTTCAACTGAAGAGAAAATATGGCACAGTCAGAATAAGGCATTAAAAGGGGAAAGTGAGGCAGGGACACACGGCACACATGCAGATGCTAGTGTACTGCCTGGGTTCAGAGGATGGACTTGGGGGTGGGAGAAGCGATGTAATATGATGAGAGAAGAGAGAGACCCTACATAGAGGTCAGGAAAACATCCCAACACAGTATCAAAGACCAGAGGGCATGAACCCGTCGAGTGTCCATTATGCATCAGGTGCCCATGACCTAAGTGATGGGATTTAGGACAAACACACTAAGGAACAGAGAGGACCTAAAGGGTTTCGTGAGATCAGCACTCACAGTGGAGGAGACGTCTGTCTCATCAGGCAGCTCCTAACACTGACCTCAAAGCGATGCTGCCCATCACAGTGGATCCTTGCGTCATTCTCATCTGACACAAATGTGATGGCCAAGCCCTGTTCCAAACCAGCCTGCTCTGGCCACCTGAAAGGAGACAGAGGGTAGAAACAGAAGACCCCAAAGAGGGAAGACACCCAGGGGGAGGGAAGAGGATGTAAGGTGTGAAAAGATACAAAAGAGGGAATGGGAGAGTGGGCATCCTTCTGGGTGTGGGGCTCACCTGTCACTGATAAAGGCAATGTTAATCCACTGGATGTCTATGATGTGGCCCAATAGGTTGGTAACCATAGAACTGGTCATTGAAAATCTTTTGGGGTCATTCTTGGACATGTGCAGAACAGCAGACAATTTTAGTCACCTGATGTGGTTCCTTGGCTTCCCATTCAGTTTTCCTTATACCTTAGCTGCTACTATGACTGCCGGCTGCCCTCCACATTCCCCTAAATTCCAGATGAGTGTGAGGAGGTAAGAGCAGGAAGAAATAGTGGATTGTGGATTGAGGTGCAATTTCCCACCACTGGAGGTGGCAAGCGGACAGATTCATACGCTGGCACTGAAGAGGCTCCTGCCCTTTGCACAGTGTGTTTGGTCACCCCAGTGCTCAGGCTGAACCCTGAGAAGAACAAGGAACTTGGACTGTCTGAAGGCCCTTGAGTGGTGTTTAAGTCGCCTGGCCACTGTGTCCTGGCTGAATGTATACATGCAGATGGAATCTTTTTTTTTTTTTTTTTTTTTTTGAGACAGAGTCTGACTCTGTCGCCCAGGCTAGAGTGCAGTGGCCGCGATCTCGGCTCACTGCAAGCTCCGCCTCCCAGGTTCACAACATTCTCCTGCCTCAGCCTTCTGAGTAGCTGGGACTACAGGCGCCCGCCACCACGCCCGGCTAATTTTTTGTACTTTTAGTAGAGATGGGGTTTCACCGTGTTAACCAGGATGGTCTTGATCTCCTGACCTCGTGATTTGCCTGCCTTGGCCTCCCAAAGTGCTGGGATTACAGGCGTGAGCCACACGCCCGGCCCGCAGATGGCATCTCTAAATGACTTATACAAAGTGCTACTGCCACAGCATCCCCAGCAATTTTTTACAGATTGTGGAGCTTTCAGATCTCCATGTGCTGGATACTGACTGTTTAGAATTTTCTTAGGATGTACTCACTGCTTCTGCCTTGTATTTCTCTTCACCTGAATGACACAAAAGGTTTAAGAGTCTCAGTGGTGTGACAGAGAGAACTGTGTCAAGTGGATGATTCCATTTGCCATGGTTACAAGGGAGGCTGGAGCTCAAAACTGAAGCCCTTCACAGAGGTTCCTGCTGAAGGTGCACACAGAGTACAGACCCACAGAAACAGCTTGGATTTGCTGGACCAAGCCCAAAGAGAGACATATTATCTGAACAAAACAGGATTTCTTTCCCCCGTTGAGGTCCACACCCCTCGCCACAGAGCAGTAAAATGCACAGCAGAGGACAGGGAACACTGTGACTGCACCAGCATTCTCCACCAAAGACCGTTGTGTGGAAGGCGCTGCTCGGCTCTCTTCTGTCTACCGAGTAGCTGGGACTTTTATGAATGTTTGTTTTGTAAGTGGTGCTATGTCCATCCATTTTTAATAAAGTTAATGGCATCTTTGAGACAGCTGGTTCTATGAGCTATGTCCGGTAGCTTAAGTTGGAAGTCAGCTTTCAGCGTGGCCCTATCAGGGTCTCTTTTTTGACTTCATTCTCTTTGAAGTTCAAGTCTTTCAAGTCAATACATTTAAAAGAAGACTTTTGACATGAGCTTCAGGTGCAGTCTTGTCTGCCTCCTGAGGCCCCCTGAGCTGGAAGTGAGGATTCCACTTGGCATTTCTCCCACCGGGGGCACATATCTCTGCTCACGTAGGGCCATTGGCCATCGGTGGCAGGAGTGCTGGTCATTTCCACATTTAAGAGGATTCTTAGGTATAATTTCTTTTTCTTTTTATTCTTTTCTTTCTTTCTTTCTTTTTTATTATTATTTTTTTTTTGAGACAGAGTCTCGTCTGTCACCAGGTTCTGGAGTGCAGTGGCATGATCTTGGCTCACTGCAATCTCCACCTCCCAGGTTCAAGTGATTCTCCTGCCTCAGTCTCCCAAGTAGCTGGGGCTACAGGTGTGTGTCCCCACACCCAGCTAATTTTTGTACTTTTAGTAGAGACGGGGTTTCACCATGTTGACCAGGATGGTCTCGATCTGATTTCATGATCTGCCCGCCTTGGCCTCCCAAAGTGCTGGGATTACAGGCGTGACCCACCGCACCCAGCCTTGGTATAATTTCTTTCTTAGGCCTGGCTAAAAGTCATAAATAATCTGTAATCAGTGTTATTTAATACTCTTTTCACCCTCACCCAAATCTTGTCATAAAGAACAAATGAATTTTTGTTTGGAGAACCTGTTAATGTAGTAGGCTAAAGCTGTGATTTTAAGAAGAAAACACATAGTAAAGTTCTATGTAGCTGAAAGGCGTGGTGTCAATATGTGGTCTGTTCCCTGGCCATTGATGGTGCCACTGACTGCCTTACTAATGGTCACTGTCCACTTGAAGGCCTAATGTGTACAGCTCACATTATTATTATTATTATTTTGAGATGGTGTCTCGCTCTGTTACTCAGGGTGGAGTGCAGTGGTGCAATCTTGGCTCACTGCAACCTCCGCCTCCTGAGTTCAAGTGATTCTCCTGCCTTAGCTTCAGAGTAGCTGGGATTACAAGCATTGCATCATATTTCTTTGGGTATTATTGAGGCGGTGGCCTTACTGAGCCTTGTGTTTCATTCTAACAATGCTTCAGCATGTGTGGCTACATACAAGGGAGGTTGAATTGTTGCAGTAAACTGAGGAATGGAGAGACTAATATGCAGTACAGGAGGATTGTTTATTTTAGGTACACACTGGCTCAGTGGATTTGTATCTAAAAAGTTGAGCATTGAACAAAGACAGACGGTTTTTTTTTTAATTCTCCAATTAAAAACTTTTAATTAAAAAATAAACTTTAATGTCAAAAATGCAAACTTGGGGAAGACAGAATGATCACACACAAGGCTGTCACTTCACACTTGGAAGGCTGCACAGCGGCCGGCCAGAGGCACTCCTCACTTCCCAGACAGGGCGGGGGCCGGGCAGAGGTGCTCCTCACTTCCCAGACGAAGTGGGGACTGGGAAGAGGTGCTCCTCACTTCCCAGATGATGTGGGGGCTGGGAAGAGGTGCTCCTCACTTCCCAGACGATGTGGGGACTGGGAAGAGGTGCTCCTCACTTCCCAGACGGTGGGCAGCTGGGCAGAGGCGCTACTCACTTTCCAGACAGTGGGGAGGCTGGGCAGAGTTGCATCTCATTTCCCAGATGGGGCAGCAGCTGGGCAGAGGTGCTCTCACTTGCCAGACGGGGCAGTGGCCGGGCAGAGGTGCTCCTCACTTCCCAGATGGTGTGGTGGCCGGGCAGAGGCGCTCCTCACTTCCCAGATGGTGGGGTGGCCGGGCAGAGGCGCTCCGCACTTCCCAGATGGGATGTCAGCCAGGCAGAGGCACTGCTTACTTCCCAGACAGGGCAGCGGCCAGGCAGAGGTGCTCCTTACATCCCAGTCAGTTGGGCGTCTGGGCAGAGGTGCTCTTCACTTTCCAGATGGGGCGGCAGCCAGGCAGAGGAGCTCCTCACTTCCCAGATGGGGCAGCGGCCAGTCAGAGGTGCTCCTCACATCCCAGACAGGGTGGCTGCGGGGCAGAGGCGCTCCTCACATCCCAGACAGGGCAGCGGCCAGGCAGAGGAGCTCCTCACATCCCAGACAGAGTGGCAGCCGGGCAGAGGGGCTCCTCACTTTCCAGATGGTGAGCAGTTGGGCAGAGGCGCTCCTCACTTCCCAGACAGGGCAGCGGCTGGGCAGAGGCGCTCCTCACTTCCCAGATGGTGCAGCCAGGTAGACAGGCTCCTGACATCTCAGACAGCGGGCATCCAGGCAGAGGCGCTCCTCACATCCCAGACAGGGTGATGGCTGGGTAGAGGCGCTCCTCACCTGCCAGACGGTGGGGCAGCAGCTAGGCAGAGGCGCTCCTCACTTCCCAGATGGTGGGCAGCTGGGCAGAGGCGCTCCTTACCTGCCAGACGGTGGGCAGCTGGGCAGAGGCGCTCCTCAGTTGATCATACAGTGACAGGTCATGTAATCTATAGCATAACGTAACTTGTGAACTTGCATAGCTGGTTGCTTTGTAGCTGCATTGAAAGAAAAATAAGAACTGGCTAAATACAGACATTTGTAAAACACAATAATGCTTAAGAAACCTGGGAAAAGAGTAACAGTAAAATAATCTGTTTTTCTTTTTTTTCCTTCAACTTTGCTCTGGAAGTAGGGGGTGTCTGGAGCCTGTTCTTTTGGCCTTGGCTCTTCGGACAGTGTTATCTTATAACTGTCCTTGTAGTGAGCTTGCTAGGCAGAGGAAAACTTGTTCTTTTCTTTTGCTTTTTAACTTTGGCCTTGCCACATTCTGGGCCTTAACTTTTACTTTTCTTGGAGTGAATAAATGCAGTGCTTATTATTATTATTTTAAATTTCTGCCTCAGTTTCTTTTCTTTGATGCCTCTTATGAAAGAAGTTTTAGAATAGAAGGCATCACTTTTACTGCTTGAAGTAATAGTGCTCCACATTGTCTGGGATGTGAGGAGCACCTCTGCCCGGCCGCCCTGTCTGGGATATGAGGAGCACCTTTGCCGGGCCGCCCTGTCTGGGATGTGAGGAGCACCTCTGCCTGGCCCCTGCCCTGTCTGGGAAGTGAGGAGCGCCTCTGCCCGGCCGCCCTGTCTGGGATGTGAGGAGCACCTCTGCCCGGCCGCCCTGTCTGGGATGTGAGGAGCACCTCTGCCCGGCCGCCCTGTCTGGGATGTGAGCAGCACCTCTGCCTGGCCCCCGCCCTGTCTGGGATGTGAGGAGCACCTCTGCCTGGCCCCCACCCTGTCTGGGAAGTGAGGAGCGCCTCTGCCCGGTGGCTGTGCAGGCTTCCAAGTGTGGGCATACTTCCCAGCTGCCCACCATCTGTAAAGTGAGGAGCGCCTCTGCCCAGCCGCTGCCTTGTCTGGGAAGTGAGAAGCGCCTCTGCCCAGCCACCACACCATCTGAGATGTGAGGAGCACCTCTGCCCGGCCACTGCCCTGTCTGGCAAGTTCTGCTTGAAGAGACAAGTTTTCTTCTTTAGACAAAGGTTGATATTTACGCAGAGCCACTAGCTGAGTGGTAGTTTGCCTGGCTACTGTTGCTTCTACAGTTGATTGAATGCTTCTAACAAGGAGAGGTAAGAGACAAGGGAGTATTAGGCAACTTTTTAGTATGGCCAAAACTACTTCTATTAAAGTCTTGTACTTTCTAAAAAATGAAAACTAGCTTCTAAAGAGAGAATCTGGAGACTGCTTTTTCTAAGTTTGATCTGGATCATGGGCTAATTTTTGTATTCTTGAAGTTATTTCTATAATGGCCTTTCTGTTGTCATTGATTTCCAGGCAACAATTAGATTGAACTTTCTACATACTTCTTGGGCTAAGAGGTAGTCTAAAGCTAATCTGTTCTGATAGACAGCATTTCTTATTTTTGTGGTTTGCTGGGCCAGTAAATCTAATGCATTTGCTGTTTCATTAGTGATTATTTCAAGTACTGCCCACGACTGTATGATGTGGTTAAGCATGTAAACAGGAATGCTGCATTTGCATGACCTATCTTGTGCCTAGGGAGCCGGCCCTATAGTATTGAATTATTCTTTCAGGGGCTAATCTGTGTCTTTCTCATCTTCTTTTTTTTTTTTTTTTTTTGAGACGGATTCTGGCTCTGTCGCCCGGGCTGGAGTGCAGTGGCCGGATCTCAGATCACTGCAAGCTCCGCCTCCCGGGTTTACGCCATTCTCCTGCCTCAGCCTCCCGAGTAGCTGGGACTACAGGCGTCCGCCACCTCGCCCGGCTAGTTTTTTGTATTTTTTAGTAGAGACGGGGTTTCACCGTGTTAGCCAGGATGGTCTCGATCTCCTGACCTCGTGATCCGCCCGTCTCGGCATCTCTTTTGTTTCTTCTTTTAACTTAATGGTAGACAGGATTCTACATTGTTGCTGCAGTGGGAGTAGGAAGAAAGGCGGTCTAATTGTTCTGAGCACACAGGCCTCTGTCTATTTAACTGGCAACTGTTGCTATGCCTGTGGCCTACAGATCTAATAAAGACCAGGGGGTGCTTGCTAAGTATTTGGAGCTTTAAGCTGTTACTAAGTGTGATTTAGAGAAGAGAAATGTGACAACGGATTTGGATGAAGTGCTTTGTAGTCATCTTTGCCTTGCCACAAAGTTTTCTTTAATGTTTCATTATAATATTGCCATCTGAAGCAGGTTAGTTCTCATACTGGGTCTGTAAAAACTTTTCTTCAACAAGCAACAGTGTTTTTTCTTTTTTGTTTTGTTTTGTTTTGTTTTTTTCAGAGGGAGTCTCTCTCTGTCACCCAGGCTGGAGTGCGGTGGCGCGATCTCGGCTTACTGCAAGCTCTGCCTCCCGGGTTTATGCCACTCTCCTGCCTCAGCCTCCCGAGTAGCTGGGACCACAGGCGCCCGCCACCATGCCTGGCTAATTTTTTGTATTTTTTAGTAGAGACGGGGTTTCACTGTGTTAGCCAGGATGGTCTCGATCTCCTGACCTCGTGATCCGCCCGTCTCGGCCTCCCAAAGTGCTGGGATTACAGGCTTGAGCCACCGCGCCCAGCCTACATTTGCTTTCTTAAGGTTAATTCTTTTAGTTCTTGGAGATCACTTTTAATTTGATGGTGGCTGACTGAACAAAATCTTATAGGGTAAATACTTTATTGGGTGGGGGTGCACTTGACTCAGAGGAAGACTATAGGCAAGACTTGATTCTGTCTCAGATGAATTTCTTGGCAATATTTCTTCAGTAGCTGCTTGAGTGTCTGGTTCATGCGTTCTACAGTAAAAGAATCTATTTTTCTCTTTTTTTTCTTTCAATTTTGCTGTAGAAAAAAGAAGTGTCTAAGGCCTATTTTTTTAGCCCTAGCTATTCAGACAGCGTTGTCTTATAACCGTCCTTGGGCTGGGCAAGGTGGCTCACGCCCGTAATCCCAGCACTTTGGGAGGCTGAGGCGGGTGGATCACAAGGTCAGGAGATCGAGACCATCCTGGCTAACACAGTGAAACCCTGTCTTTACTAAAAATACAAAAAAATTAGGTGTGGTGGCGGGCGCCTGTAGTCCCAGCTACTCAGGGGGCTGAGGCAGGAGAATGGCGTGAACCCAGGAGGTGGAGCTTGCAGTGAGCTGAGATCATGCCACTGCTCTCCAGCCTGGGTGACAGAGCAAGACACCATCTCAAAAAAAAAAAAAAAATATATATATATATATATATATATATATATATAAAACTGTCCTTGAGGTAAGCTTGCTAAGCAGAAAAAAAAAACTTGTTCTTTCCTTTTTCTTTTTAACTTTTGCCTTGCCACATTCTAAGCCTTAGCTTTAACTTTTTTTAAAGTAAATAAATGCAATACTTATTATTATTTTTAAATTTCTGCCTCAGAATGAATAAATAACATGTATTTTTTTTAAAGTCAGGCCTTTGGATTAGGGTAAACTCTAGGATATTTAAGTGAATTCCCTGAGGAATTGTGGACACTGTAAACAGGTGAGGGCATTATTCTCTGCTTCTCTGTCCCCACAGAGTCATCGTTCACCCTCCTTCCACCTTGTCCCCTGCACTGGGAGGCAACCACGACAGGCATGGCCTGTGCTCCTTCAACATCTGGCTTCTGCTTGGGTTTGGATGATAACAGGCACCTGCAGGAGATGGGGGTGTGGGAGGAGAAATAACTCAGGGTTTTCGCTTCCCTCACTCCCTCTGGACAGCTCTGTGGTTCTGTAATCATTGCCGCCCTCTACCTACAGCCACAGGCATGCGGGGCTGCCCCTAGTGAAAGCTACAGATTTCCCTGGGTTCTGGAAACTGCTCCCTTCCTTGCTCTTTCAAGCTCAGAGATGAAAACAGTTTCCTGCCAGGAATCATCCCAGGGAGCTTCAGCGCCCTAGTGGCTTTCTTAGTGCTGCCAGCACCTGTGTAAAAGGTGACATCTCAGGCCAGGTGCTGTGGCTCACACTTGTAATCCCAGCACTTTGAGAGGCTGAGGCGGGAGGATCACCTGAGGTTGGAAGTTCGAGACCAGCCTGACGAACATGGAGAAACCCATCTCTACTAAAAATACAAAATTATCTGGGCGTGGTGGCACATGCCTGTAATCCCAGCTACTTGGGAGGCTGAGGCAGGAGAATCGCTTGTACCCGGGATGTGGAGGTTGTGCTGAGCTGAGATCGTGCCATTGCACTCTAGCCTGGGCAACAAGAGTGAAGCTCCATCTCGGAAAACAAAAAAAGGTGCCATCTCTTTCCTGCCAGGTCCCTGACTGACCACAGGGTGCTCCCCTAAAAGGAGAAGTGACAGGAATGTATTTAAGACAATGCACTAACATGTCTATTCATGATGTTATTTCAAAAAATTGACTTACTACAGTAAAAGGGAAAAATAAGAGTATGTTGGAAACGGAGCAGGAAGAAAGACAAAGGTGAAAACAATCAATCTGGGGCATCTGAGAAACCCCAAGTGCAGAGGCTGCCCTGAGTCTTTAGAGGACAAGAAACAGAACACACCACCCAAAAGTGAGAGACAGAGCCTGGCCAGAGCGGGATGATAACGGCTCTCCTACAGAGTACTATTCCTGTAACTCTGACGAGAGGGATGAGATCGACATGTAAAAATACATACACACACAAAGTGGAGCTGAGGGCAGGATGGAGGGCTGCCAATCTCAGCCCTTTACCTCCATGGACTTGGAGAAAGGCTCAGCCTGGAGATGTGTGAAGCCTCCGAACTGGAGCAGCACCCGCCCCTAAAGACCAGGCGCAAATCCCAGCACAAGGAGGGATCCAGACAAATACACAAGAAATGACCACAGCAGGAACTTCATTGAGCACAGAGCGAGGGTGCACACACCACTCAGCACCTGCCCCTCCACCCACCCTTCTCTCCCCACCTGCCCCTGCCCCAGCATAGCAGGTCCTCAGAATCCAAAAAAAGAACCTAACCTCCATGTTCTCTCTCTGTCTCTGTCTGTCTCTCTCTCTCTTTGTTTTTTGAGACAGTTTATCTCTTGTTGCCAGGCTGGAGTGCAATGGTGTGATTTTGGCTCACTGCAACCTCTGCCTCCTGGTTCAAGCAATTCTCTTGCCTTAGCGTCCCGAGTAGCTGGGATTACAGGCAGCTGCCACCACACCCAACTAATTTGTGTATTTTTAGAGATGGGGTTTACCATGTTAGCCAGGCTGGTCTCGAACTCGTGACCACAGGTGATCCACCTGTCTTGGCTTCCCAAAGTGCTGGGATTACAGGCATGAGCCACCACGCCTAGTCTCCATGTTCTCTTAATAGTTTGTAATATCTTAGCACAGTTTCAAAGAAAGGATATGAGAACAATTAACTCATAGAGCAAGACATCTATCTAGAGTGAGTGAGTCACAGGGGAGATCTGGGAGGGAAACACTGTAACTCTTTCATTCCAGAAAAGGAAGGTTGATCCAGGGAAGGGGACCCCAGGCCTGGATATTGGGATTATGTGGAAGGGGTTCTGGGGCATCAGGGGAATTGGTCCCTCTCCCTATATCATCCCTGTGCTGTGCTTGGGAGTAGACACAGTTTATCAGCTGTGCAGCTCAGGGAAGAGAATTCAGTGTCCAGAGACACGGGGAGCTGAGAACAATCTATGTCTTACTCGTCTGCACAAGGCAGGTCTCAAACTGTGGAGAACATGGTAATGACTAGATTCAGCTCAGCCACTCTCAGCCTTGACACCCAGAGCATTGTGGACAGCCCATTGCCACCCCCTACCTTCAAATCCAAAGATCCCCTATAGCCCAAAGCTGCTCCCCGGCCTCAACTCCTGTTGGCATTGGGCCCCAAGGATCATACTTCAGGAAGCTGTTAGCACCACATCAGTGTCAAGAACCCTGTCACCACTTGGAGAATGATAATAAAGAGGACCCGTCAGAGGCTGCAGGAAGAGACTGTATTTCAGGCGGGACGATGGGATGGGTGAGGCACAGGACTGTGGCTCCATCCTCTCTATTCTAGGGGTTAGAGTTGAGCTGCCTCTGCTGCCCCTTCCATGCTAGATTTTATAGAGTAGACCCCTCCTGAAGTTCTTATGAGGACAGAAGACCCTGTTAGGTGCCATGGTAGAGACAGGCCCAAGGGTCATGAATACCTGGTTAATATTGTCCCCAGGAGAGATTAGAAAATTAAAGCATTAAACCCAGGACCCAAGAGAGACGGAAAAGACAATGCAGGACCCTGCAATCAGTCTCTTGGATGTCTGTTTGCAACGAAGGTCTTTCCTTCAGGGAAAGGCACCCGGTATCGTGGTCCTGAGTGTTGCTATCCTGCTGTTCTCATCTGTGAATGGGGCTGGACCTCTACCTTCCTCCAATATAAATAACTGGGAGGATCTGTCCACATACACTTGGTACCTACATATTAGTTAATACTGTACAACAGTTTGGTTTAATATTTTATATCTTGTAAGAAATAAACAAAATAGAAGGATGATATTTTTATTAAAGGTAATTCAGATTATATGAGAATCAGATTCCTGGGGCCCTGGGTACCTTATCTCCATGTTTAGAATACTCATGGAGGATCAGGGGAGTACAGAGCCCCAAAATGGTCATGAGGCCTGAAGCTCCCTTGTGTAAAGGACCCTCCCCTGTACTTTGGGGCTCAGGGCGAACAGCACAGTTGACACCCAGGGTCTCCAGCCTCTGGCCTCTGCTGTCAGCCTGAACTTGCTCGGCCTTCCTGGCTGCCAAGCTTCTGGTTCCCAGCAGCCTCCTCTCTCACACTTCACCTCTTCTGATTGGGGCCATTGGCCACTTGACAGGCAGTGCCCTCCTTGTCAGTCTGCCTGTCTGCCGGTTTCACTCTCAGGGTTTGTGGCTTGACTGGGTTCACTATCCCCAGCCCCAGCGGGAACAGGGAGAAGTGACTCGGCAAGTCTCCCACTCACAGTGGCATCCCTACAGGTGAGATGGGGCAAAGCCATCTTTCCAGTCTCTTCCATACCTAAGAACTTCTTGCACATCACAGCTCCAAGGACCAGAGCAGGAAGTAATGTTAAGCCAGCAATTGTTCCCACGATGGTTAGGATGAGCTTGGAAGGTGGTTCTGAGAAGGGAATGAAAGGGGCCTTGACCTTCAGGTTAAAATCCTGACCCTGTCACAGGGCCTAGAGCAGCTTCCACTGTGCCAGTCCTGTGAAGGGATTTTCACCTCATCCCCCTCTTTACCCACCTCAGTATAAGGGGCCTGAGTAGCCCCTCATGCTCCACACAGCACGGGGATCCCTGCTTCTCCCCAGAAGGCACCACCACAGCCACCCACTTCTAGAAGGTCCCATCCCCCAGGCTTGGGGTCCCCATGCTGTGTGTCCTGGGTCTGGTCCTCCCCTTCCCACAGTCAAATCAGCATAATTTCTGCTGAGTAGAAGCCCTGGGCCCAGCATCTCAAGGTGACTTTCCCATTAAATCCTGAGTGAGGGGTCACAAGTGCTGATGGCTGCTCTGAGGAGAGTCAGAGACTGAGCCATATTGAGTCATAGACAGTAGGATTCTCATGGATAGAGAAAATTTAATGGGTATCTTAGCTATCAGCCTCCTTGTGAGAGGTCCAGCAACAATTTTCAAAGTTAAAAGTAGGTTCAGGATAAGCAATTTTCCTAACCTCTAATGCTCTCTTTCTACAAATGTGTCTCATTGTCTGCAAAGTCACTTTTTTTTGCTTCTAATGTTGGCAATGTTATTTTTCACTTTTAAAATTTCTGTTTCCTTTCTAATTTGCACTCAGATTTTATAAACTTCTGATACTATCTGTTACAGTCTGATATTAGGACCTAGAAGTTGTTTGTAGGATTGCTTTCATTTGCTGTGTCTCTGCTGATTCTCTTTTTCTGGTGTTTTATCTTCTGGTTGGGTTAAAGAGCCCCGGGTGAAGGTGGACCCAAGTACATCACTGTTGATGAGGGTAACTGCTGTCCTTTCCTATTTACCTCCTTGCACTCCTTCTCTCTGTCCTCCTTCCGCACCCACCCTCAGGACAGCCTCAGGATCCTGGACAGAATCCTCTACCACAAGAAGAAGAAAGAAGATAGAAAAAAGAAGAAATAAAAGAAGGAAGAAGGAAGAAGAAGAAGAAAGAACAAGGAGGAGGAGGAGCATGGTGCTGGGTTTGGCCCCCTTCCCTCCCACAGGTATGCCTCCAGGGAACATAATTCCAACTCCAGGAGGTCCTGACGTGCGTGTGGCCCTGAGGACCCCAATACCTGCCTGCAGCAGCGTCTCCTTGCCAAGCTCTAGGCTTCTGAGCAGCCACCTAGTGCAGTGACCCATCAGGGGTTCCCTTGTGGCTTCCGCAATCCAGAACCTCTTCCAGGTACGATTCATCCTCTGAGCTGCAGTTTGTGCCGCTGTCCAGGTCTGTAGGTCCTGAATCGGGGACGTGAAATCTCCCCTGTAGTAGGCAGACTGAAAGTGTCCCGGGAGGAAGCTCTCGTCCAGAGCCACGTGCAGCCACGCAGTATCCGCAGGTGCGGGCCCTGGACCTGTCCTGGTGTCAACTCAAGGCAGGGCTGGGGAGGGGAGGGAAGTCGTCCAGCCCCTCCTGCCTCAGCCTGCACACCCCCAGTTCCTCCCTCTCTCTGTGATTGGTCACAGCAGAAGTCAGTCATGATCTAGATTGAAGGAGAAACCTGGAGCAAAATGTTGCTTGCACTTCCCCATCCATGAGGGGTCAGCTGAGGCCCTGCCCCCCATGCCTGGGAGACCCTGGCCCAGCAGGTCAGTGTGGGGTTTGGAGGACACCTGTGCCTAAAGCTTGACGTCACTCACCAGCTGGCCTGGGTGGTGGTGCCTGTAGCAGCAAACTTTGGACAAAGGGAGCTGCAAGACTCATGTCCTGCCAGCTGCCTGGCTGGCTCATAGTGTTTGTGATAGATGGGGCTGGCTAGTGGGGGAATGTAGGAGTCAGAGTGGTGGGAAAAATGATAGGGAAAGGAACAGACCTTCTGAAAAGTCATAAGGCTCTGCAAAGCTCCAGGGGAGAATAGCTGAAGGCAGCTGTTCTATAACCCTAAGGCAGAGGGCAAGGAGTAGGTACAAGGGAGTGTAGGGGAATTTATCTTAAACAGACTTGTTTACTTATGTTGACTGAGAACTGACCTTTGATCATCCACACACCTGAGGTTCCTTGAAAGGGGAACAATAAATGTTAATTACCCACAGATTGTGTTTGCTCCAGGTTTTTGGCATTGTGCCTGCACTGAACAAAAACAAGCAGCTCCAGCTTCTCGGTACTGCTACACTTTGGCCACTTGATCTGGGCAGTCCCCTAGCTGCTCTTACACTGCGTACCTGTGTCTGAGTACTCCTTTCATCCATCGGTTGGCCAGGGTTTGCAGGACAGACCTGGCAGGGGAACATGTAGTGCCCTTAGCCTGGGTGCTGCACTGCATAGAACAACATTAGGGTAACACCATGTAAGATAGGTACCCGCCATGACCTGTGCAAACATAACACGTGTCACCACACCAAAGATGTGGTGGAACACATGGTCCCACCAAGGTTGAGCCCTGATGGACTTTGTGCCCTCTGGGAGTTTATGGGTCTGTGGGTACACAGGGTGGCCTCACCTGTCAGTGAACTGGACTGGACGTTGTTCCTGGGGGAGGCCTTATGTATCTGCCACTGTCCTCCCCACGTTATCCAGATGCCTGCATAACTGAGAGGCATTACCCTCCCAGTTTTCACAGGTGCGACGAACTGCCTGGCAGTTCTATCCCTTGTCATTAACTGTCTCTGCAGCACGTGTTATGACTATAGAGGCACAAGTGACGGCTCTTGCAGAGCATACCACTCAGGTTCTGAATTACAGCCGAATAGCCCTCCTCCTGTTAACGGATGAGGTTAATTAGATTAGAAAAGTAGTGTTGCAAGACTGGATGGCCTTAGACATAGTACCTGCTGCCTAAGGAGGCACCTGTGTCCTTGTAGGAACACAGTGCTGTACATTTATCCCTGACAATTGAAAAAACATAACAACATACCTGCAAGGGATCACATGGAGAATAAAGGTGGTCAAGAGCCTTACTGATGACCCCTGCAGAGGTGGTGGGCATCCCTAGGTTCTGGCCTATTCTGGACCCTGATAGTCATAAGTAGCATAGCTGGAATCTTAGTAGTGAGCTGTTGCTCTCTGTATTGCTGTTGTGGGTTATAGGTTCAAGGCTCCACCCTAGGGGCACACGTCCCTACTCAGAAGACACCCTCGGCCTAGGGAGTGGAATGTAAGAAAGATGACTGCACTTCAGTTAGGAGTAAGCTGAGGCAGCCTTCCAATGCAGTATGACACAGTGGATTTGGAGCACAGGCATACAAACCCATGCATTATGTAACCACACCATGTAAGGCACATAATGTAACTACTCACGTGAGCTTGTGCTTGGCTCAGAAGCATTATTGTCTGTAAAAAGTGTAACTGCTCTGCTAATGCTATGCATAGTGCTTGCTCGCTCGCACACCCAGAGAGAAATAAAGCTATGTCCCACCTGCCTACAATTCCTTGAGTGGTCTTTCAGCTACCCGCCACCTGTCCACTGACTCCCCTAGGACCCCAGCTTGGGCTGGAGCCTAACATATACGTACCACAACTAACACTTAAATAAATCCAACAAAGAAAGAGATACTATGAACAGTAGCAAAATATTTCAAGATCTTTGGAATAAATGTACTAAAAAATACACAAGTGTAAACAGCAATGCTTTAAGGGTATTTAATAAAGAAACATTCCGTATTAATTAATTATAAGTCTCGATGTGGCAAAATTTGTCAATGTTCTCCAAATCTGTTTACTGAACATAATCTCTATTAAAAATATAATTTTTAGGGAAATGTGCTTCTCAAACTTGAAAAGTTGCCAATGATAGAAAAAACACTCATGAAGTCAAAATGCAAAATGTATGGATTTACTTCATTGTATAGAGAGACATATTCTAAAGCCATCATCTTGGGATGATGAAAATCTTCTAAAATTAGATATGGTAAGTTAAAAATCTGAATATGTGAAAAATCAAATTGTATACTTTAAATGGGTGAATGGTATGTGAATTATATCTTAATAAAGTTTAGTGAAAGAAACATATTGAGATGTCGTGACAAATCCACTAGAATTTCTAAATTAAAATCACTGACTATTCCAAATATTGGTGAGAAAATGGACCATCAAGAGCTGCCACACACTGCTGGCCATAGTGCAAACTGATACTGTCACTTTGTCTAGCAGTGTGGCATCATGTCTCTGGGTGGGATATCATACACACACACCAGTAAATCCACTCCTAGGCATATAGTGTTGAGAGATATGTGCTCATTGTACCAACATACATGTGCGAGAAGGTTTACAACAGCATTGTTTGTAATTTTTAAAATCTGAAAACAAAGTCACCACAAACAGAGAAGGATTAATTTAATGTGTGGTTTATTTGTTCAATGTAATTCGACAAATAGTAAAACATGAACATTTTAGAGACACCTATAACAACTTAGCAAACATATATTTGAGCTAAAATAAGGTCTCATAAGAGTCACATAGCACGATTCCATTTGCATGAAAATTTCAAAATTTATATGAAATTTGAGATAAGCTTTATTGTTTTAGAGATGTATGCATTGGGGTAAAGCTTTAAAGAAAGGCACCAACAGGATTACTATGAAATCAGGATGAGGGTGAACTCTTAAGGACAGCTGGAGCCGTGACTCCAGCTTTTTTACTGGGAAGAGGATTTGCTCCCGGGGAAAAACCTCTCCTGCTTTGCAGGCTTATTTTCTTTATATTTGTAGAACAAAAATGTTGATGTAATAAAAAGAACGTATTTGTCCCAAGTGAAAACCGGGAGGGTAGTGCCTCTCAGTTATGCAGGCATCTGGGTAATATGGGGAGGACAGTGGCAGATACATAAGGCCAACCCCAGGAACAACATCCAGTCCAGTTCACTGACAGGTAAGGCCACCCTGTGTACCCACAGACCCATAGTTTTTCTATTTTTTATCCCTTATATTTTTATATTTTTCTATCCTTATCAATACCCCATATTGTGATGAATACAGTGGCTTCATTTTGTTGGAAGGGACATGACAATGGACCTTTTCAGCCAGGATTTCTCTGGGCCTTTCCATGGGATTCAGTCCCTGCCATGGTAGGTGAAGGGAGAGCTCTCGGTATAGGGTTTGGTGTTTATAATGAACCATGCTGTTTGGGCAGCAGGTTTATCTCTGGAAGTTCGAAGGTTAGTCAGGAGTGTGATCCTCTTCCCCATTCAAAAGGTCAAGGTAGAGCAGGTTCTTGTTCACAGTGTAGTGAGTGAGAAAAGGGAAAGTGACAGAGAGTATTCTTTCACCTTTTTGTGACCTGCATGCATCCAAGTCTCTGGTATTTTAAATAATTGAAACTGAGACCTAGATCCACTTATCTGTAAAGTAGAACTGTGGAGGAGGAAGCATATCATCCCCGCCACTGGAGAGATCCCTGAAGAGAGATTTGTGAGCCCCCTCTTAATCAAAAATGACATAAAAATTCACCAAAATAAAGTGAATTTGTGGCTGTAGATGGGGATTTATTTAGAGCTTTTACTCCCCACCTGCTTCCTAAGACATGGTCCTTCCCCAGGATACCATAGAATCACAGGACTTACACTGGAGGGGTCAGGCGTGATGCTGTTCTTCCTTTATGGCAGATAGGATGTTTTAGATTGCAGATATTTTCCAAAGACGGCTGCAAAAATATCTTCCATCACACTTGCTTTTCTTTAGTTTGACCCACCACTCCCTCATCAAGAGGTAAGGTCTCTCCACTCCTTAAACATAAGCAGATCTGATATCTGCATTAGCCAATAAAATATGGCAGAAGTGTGCTTGTGTCAGTTCTGGGCACTGCCATTAACCATCCTGCCTGCATCTGGTTCCTTCCACTTCAATCCCTGAACCATGTAACACTCCCAGGCCATCATCTGAACCCAGTCAACACATAGAATCCTATGAAGAGATCATAAAAAATTCTTAGTTAGTATTTTCATGAATATCCTTTTCTATCCTTCCAATTTCAACTTCTGTGTGTTGTTAGATCCAAAGTGAGAATCTTGTAGCCAGCATATGGTTAGATTTTTTTATTCTTTTTTTTTTTTTTTTTTTTTTGAGATGGAGTCTCACTCTGTTGCCCAGGCTGGAGTTCAGTGGTGTGATCGTGGCTCACTGAAACCTCTGCTTCCCTGGTTCCAGCAATTCTCCTGCCTTAGCTTCCCTTGTAACTGAGACTACAGGCACCTGCCACTACACCCGGCTAATTTTTTGTATTTTTAGTAGAGACAGGGTTTCATCTTGTTGGCCAGGCTGGTCTCGAACTCCTGACCTTGTGATCCGCCCGCCTTGGCCTCCCAAAGTGCTGGGATTACAAGTTCGAGCCACCGTGCCCAGGCAGATTCTTTTTATCCTATCCATTGTGATAATCTCTGAATTCTGATTGGGGAGTTTACATTTAAAGTAATTACTGATAAGGAAGGATTTAGTTTTGTAATTGTGATGTTGGTTTTATGCAAGTCTTATAGCTGTTTTGTCCCTCATCTCCTTCATTCCAACCTTCCTTTGTTTTTAGTCGATTTTTTTCTCGTGATATGTTTTCATTGCCTTCATTTTCTTTTGTGTATATTTTGTGTCTATTTCTTTGTGATTACCATGGTATTGCATATAACAATACAGTTATAACAATCTTGAATGGAAGCCAATATGAAACTCTGCTTCTTTACGTCTTTCCCCCCCCCTCATTTTATGTTATTGATGTCACAAGTTACACCTCGGCAGGCTGGCAGGCTGGAAATCACAATGTTGCAGGCTTCAGTCTGAAATTTGTAGACCAGGCTGGCAGACTGGAAACCTAAACTGTAGTTGCTACTGTCATCTTCAGGCAGAACTTTTTCTCCTCTGGGAAGCCTCATATTTTGCCCAAAGGCCTTCAACTGATTCAAAAAGTCCCACCCAGATTATTGAGGGTAATTTCCTTTTCATAAAATCAATTGATACCAGATTTTAATCCCAACTGCAAAACACTATCATAGCAACATATAAATTAGTGTTTGATTAAATAACTAGGTACTATGGTTTAGTAAAATTGACACCTAAGACCCACCATCCCAGTCCATGCTGGTGAACTTGGCACCCATTAACATTTTCTTAAACTTTACTTCGTCTCCAAATAAAAACAAGTATAAAGTCATACTTTTGCCAAAGATGATACAATTAGCTTGCATCCAACTAAAAACACACTAACCCTTTCCTCAGAAAAAGATTCAAACTGAATGCATGGTATGCACTCTTCTCTTTGATGTACTGTAACCTAAATACCAAGTGTAATAAAAGTTACACCATCATTAATAAAAGGGAACTATTGTTAGAACATCTTATGTTTTATTACAAAATGATCAGGAAAAGATGAAAAGAAAGGTATTTGCTCAAAACATGTATGGATACATACACACAGACAGAAATATCATTATAAAAACATAAGGAAGTAATGCTGATAACATTTACCGTCCTTTTTCTGTAAGTGCTCACAAGGTTACAGCTGGTTATTTATTTATTTATTTATTTACTTATTTACTTATTATTTGAGACAGGGTCTTGTTCTGTTGCCCAGGCTGGAGTGCAGTGGCATTACCTCGGCTCACTGCAACCTCCACCTCCTGGGCACAAGTGTCCTCCTACCTCAATCTCCTAAGTAGCTGGGACTACAAGCACACTACCAAGTCTGACTAATTTTTTGTATTTATTTTCAGTAGAGATGGAGTTTCAGCATTTTGGTCAGGTTGGTCTCACATTCCTGGACTTAAGCAATCCACCTGCCTCAGCCTCCCAAAATGCTGGGATTACAGGCATGAGCCACTGTGCTGGCCACAACTAGTATTTATAAATACTTTTGCTGTTTTTCACTAATCATCCATATTCCCATTGCTTTCAGCAAGTCTGTCAGCTGATCAGGTTTCTTTTCCTGCTTGAGTGACTCAAACCTTCATTTCTGAAGGAATGGGTCATTAGAAGTCCTACCTGACTTGGGTGTTGTAGTTTTTATTGACTTTAATTACAGAGCAGAGTATTACTAAGAGATGCTCTAAAAGATCTCCTGTTCCAGACATAGTCCTATTACTGCATTGTGTAGTAGCAGACCAATCCCCATGATGACCAGGACTAATCACCCCAACGGTGCAGTCACTCCTCCCTTTGTTGATCAGAATCATGAGGAGCTGAAAGGCCCAGGTGGCTGCCTTAGCTTCCAGCTCAATGGTTCATTTCTGTGTCATCCTCCTTTTGTAAACATCTAGATCCCTGATCCTGTTCCTCCTGACTGGGCAAGACCTCCCAACCAGGGTCTCCAGCATCTCCTAAAGGTGTCTTCAGTCTGGCAACAGGTCTATACTTGCTGGAACAGACCTCCCAGAGGAAGGGGCAGACCGCCATCTTGCTGTTACATAGCCTTCACTGGTGATACCTTCAGGTACTGGAAAATCTGAGGC